CTTTGCATTTGGCAGGGTTAAATTCAAGGACCGTTGCTGGACCAGGCTTTAGCCTGTCCAGATCTCTTTGTAGTCCTGCCTGATCCTCGTCCGATTCGATTCTTCTCATTAACTTCACATCGACTGCAAACAAGGACACTTCTGAGTCTATCCCTTCCGTTATGTCGTTCACGTATACCAAGAACAGCACAGGTCCTAGGACTGACCCCTGTGGAACCCCGCTTGTCACGGGCGCCCACTCTGACACCTCGTCGCGTACCATGACTCGTTGTTTCCTCCCTGTCATATATTCTCTGATCCATTGCAGTGCCTTTCCTGTTATGTTGCCTGGTCCTCTAGCTTTTTGCAGTAACCTCTTGTGAGGAACTGTGTCGAAAGCCTTCTTGCAGTCCAAAATACGCAGTCGATCCACCCCTCTCTCTCTTGTCTTACTTCTGTCACCTTGTCATAAAACTCTAGTAGGTTTGTGACACAGGATTTTCCTTCCCTGAAACCGTGCTGGTTGTCAATTATACACTTTTTTTCTTTCCAGGTGCCCCACCACTCTCCTCCTGATGATCTTCTCCATGACCTTGGCATACTATACACGTTAGAGATACAGGCCCTGTAGTTTAGTGCCTCATGTCTGTCTCCCTTTTTAAAAATTGGGACTACATTTGCCATTTTCCATACCTCAGGAGTTGCCCATTTTTCAAATGAGTGTTGAAGATCTTTGTTAATGGCTCACACAATATCTCTGCCCCCTCTTTAAGGACCCATGGAGAGATGTTGTCTGGTCCCCCCGCCTTTGAGGTGTCAAGTTCGCATAGCAGCTTCTTCACCCCTCCTTGGTTATATGTACCTCATCCAGCACTTGCTGGTGTGCCCCCTGTTCTGATTTCTTGGAAAGTCCTACTGGTTTTCCACTGTAAATACCTCTTTAAATCTTGTGTTGAGCCCTGACATACCTCTGGGTCGTTTCTTGTAAATTTCCCCCATCCCCCTTTTCCTCAGTCTGATTACCTGGTCCTGCTGTTGTTTTCCTCCTGATGGGGCTGTACAACAGTTTCGGGCAGTCTTTACTTTTGATGCTATGTCATTTTCATATTGTCTCTGAGCCTCCCTTCTTATCTGTGCTATACTTTTTTCTGGCTCTTCGGTTTGATTTCTTTATTTTCCTGAGTTCTCTGTCTTCTGTACCTTTTCCATTCTCTAGTACACCTAGTTTTTGCCTCCCTACACCTTTGGTGAACCAAGGACTCTTTTCTGTTCTTCCATTATTTCTGTTTCCCTTGGGAACAAACCCCCTCCTCTCCCTCCTTGCATTTTGTTGCTACATAGTCCACCCATTTCTTGTACTGGTTTTCCTGTCAGTTCCCTCTCCCACTGAATGTCTTAAAAGGAAGTTCCTCATGCCTGATTTAGTTCCCCCTTTTGTAGTTTGGTTTTTCCCAGCCTATTCCTGCTACTCTCTCCACTTGGAGCTCAACATGTAGTCGAAGCACAGAACCACATGGGTCACTAGCTCCCAGGGGGCCTTTCATACATGATACCCTCGATGTCCGAACTACTCTGGTGAATACAAGGTCCAACCTTGCTGGTTCATCCTCTCCTCTTCCCCTGGTAGTGTCTCTAACCATGTTGATGCATGAGGTTCTCCAGTACCACATCCATCATCTTTGGGTCTCCATGTTTCGGGACCCCCATGGGGCCCAGGTTTTCCCAGTCAATCTCCTTGTTATTGAAATCACCCAAACTAGTAACTTTGCTCCCCCCATGTGTGCTCTCCTGGCCACCTCGGCTAGTGTGTTGATCATTGCTCTGTTGCTCTCATCGTATTCTTCTCTTGGCCTCCTGCAGTTCTGTGGTGGGTTGTACATTACTGCAATTATCACCCCTTATGTCCCTCAGACTGGATTGTTCCTACTAAATATCCCTTTCGCCCATGCCATCCCTTCCTTTCCCTTTTTTCAAAACCCCACTGGTTTTTAATGAGCATGCAACTCCTCCCCCCCTCTCCTCCCTCTGTCTTTCCTGAAGATTTGATATCCGGATGGAAAGATGAATCTGTTTTTATCTGGTGAGTTTTGTTTTTGTGAGAGCTATTATGTCTGGGATGTCTCTTTGATTCTTTCGTGCCACTCCTCATACTTGTTTTTTATTCCATCTGCATTTGTATACCCACACTTCAACTTCTTTTTTAAGACTGTGGTCTGGGAGTATATTGGGGTTGGGGAAGTGGGAGACCTGGTAAGGAACTATGGGTTGTTGCTTTGGGGGGGAAGTTTGTAATGTAGTGGTGGGGGCATTGGATGTGGGATGGGTGTTTTGATTTAAAAGTGTTTGGTTGCACTGGGGTTTTTTTCCTGTTGGGAAAGGCTTCTATAGAAAGTTTTTGAGGGAGGGTGTATTAGATCTTCTTCCTGGGTCTGGGATCTCCTGTCTGTCTTCTCCATCCCCTCTCTTTCCTCCTTTCGCCTTTTACCATCTCTCCCTCAGTTTCTTCCTTTCTTCTTGTGTTCTGTCGCGGTCGAGATACACGCTCCTGTATGCCGTCATGTCCCTTAATCGTGCTTTCCCCCTGCAGTATCCTGGTCCCGAGTCGCTTCTGCCTTGAAGGTCACTCTCACTGGCCGGGTTCTTTTTACAAACCCCCTATTCTCCGAAAATTTTCCAGCTGGGTCATATCGTCTTCTCCTATGCTTTCATGATGCTTTCAATTGCTTTTTTTTCCCCTTGTTTTCTTGCTTCATTTTGTTTCCCCTTCGACTTCCTGGAGCCCATACACAAAGACGACCTCACCCTTTCATTCTCCCACTGCATATCCCTGTGTATCCCCTCATTTAATTTGGTTTCCTCCACTGCAGCTTTCCTTTCATCAGTTTCACTGGCTAATGTACTTGGGCCCCAGTGGCCTTCATTTTCCCTTCTCGGCTTTCCTTGGGGTCTGTTGTTGTCTGTTGGGCCCCCACATAAAGCTTAGCTCTTTCATTTGCTACAGTCTCCTCTGATAGAGCATCTCCATGCAGTTTGTGCCCCTTCTTTCCCTACAGTCCCCCCTTTTTTGTGGCTGAGGTAGCAGTCTCTGTTGTCATCCCAAAATGTTCTTTAGTTCTTTAGGCTGTTTTCAGATTTTTCAATTCCTCTTCTAAACTCTGTATCCTAGCTTTCTGCTGCTTTGACATGCACCTCCCACTTCCTGCTTTCCATATCTATCCTCTCTTCCATTCTCATGCAAGTTCTTCTAGTTTCTTTTCCCATTCAGATCCCTTTTTTATGAGCTCTGCGCCCAATCTTTCCCTTTTCATTTTCCTCCTCCTTCCCTTGGTTTTTCTTGTTGCTCCCCTGGCAACCCATTTTTGTTTATCCTGATTGCCTCAGATGGGGAAACCTATGTAATTCTGTATGTTAGGTTAGTAGTGTGTGTGTCAGAGTGTGGGGGGGGAAGTAGTGGAGGAACTGTGGCTATTTGGGAGCTGAGTGGGGGGGGTGGGGAGGTTTGGGTGAAAGGGGGAGGGGAGGGTGATCGAGGGAGGGGATGGATAGGGGAAGTAGTGAGATGTCGGTGGTGAGGGGGGGTGTGTGTGTGGTCTGGATATGTGTGTTGTGTTTGTGGTGGGTTTGTGTGTGGTTTGTGTGGTGTGTGTGTGTGTGGGTGGAGTGTGTAATTTTGTGTGTAATTGTGTGTTTGGGAAATTAGTTGGGGTTTTATTGTGTCTGAAAGTAGGTGGCTTGTGCTTGAGTGTAATGTTAGATTCTCATTGTTTGCTTTTGTCCACAACCTCTTGTGCCTACTCCCACCCTTGCGTGTGCCTATATCCCTGCTTATAGTGATTAATCGCCTGTTCAATGGATTACCATTTGCTAAACTTATTGAATTCTTGAGTGCCTATTCTTTTTTTCTGCTAGAAGTTAACCATTCACATTCAGCTTGGCGTAAATTGGAACCTGGGGGACCCCACACCCAAACAACACTCCAAAGGGGATACAGTACTGTAGTGGCAGCTGTAGCAGTGTAGATTGTCCGGTCGATGTGGGCGTTTCCCGGAGTAGATCCGTCGATGTACGTCCTGGCGTAGATCCACTCAATTTCTTCTCGTTTAATATGTACCCTATTCACTGTTTTCTTTCACTGGTCACAATTGTTTTCACTTTATTAAATCTTGGGTACACTTTGGCAACACCGGGGCCCTTCAAAACTAGTCCCTGCGCCACAAACGCTTTTATTTCCGGATCACTTTCAAAATTGTGGCTCCCCACACTTGTGTGGCTAGGGAATTAAAAAAAAAACACTTCTAGATTGTTGACTACCCTGACACACTTGCCACCCTGCAGAACACTGTAAACCCTCAAAAACACTTAATCCCCGAGCACCGACGGCGTGACTAGCCGCTCGCTGTCCCAATGTGTGATGTGCGTGTGTGTGTATGTGCCGTGTGTGTGGTTGTGTTGTGTGTGTGTGTTGTGGTGTGTGGTGTGTGTGTGTGTGGTGTGTGTTCACTTACTGTCAAAGTAAATGTTTGACTTGGTGTATAAACTGTAGACATTGGGCCAGTGTCTTAATACTATGTATTTGCAGTGAAGATGTGTTTAGCTGGTCACAGTGGCCATCTCTCTCTCTCTCTCTCTCTCTCTCTCTCTCTCTCTCTCTCTCTCTCTCTTTTCTACACCTGTTTTACAAGGTTAAAGGGTCCCTAGCTTAATTGACAAGCTATTTACAGGTTAAGGATTCCTAACTTTATTGGCAAGCTAAGAGCTGTTACCTACATCAGCTCATTTGAAAGCATCTTTTTTTGTTATGAGACATACACGTAGGGAACAGGATGAAGTTGGAGCCATCTGTGGGCCAGCATTTTCAATTGATCAGCTGACTTTATCTCTCTCTCTCTCTCTCTGTATCCTTCCCTTCTCTCTTTCTCCTTTCCTCTTCTCTCTCTCTCTCTCCTTCCCTCCTCTTTTTCTCCTTTCCTCTTCTCTCTCTCTCTGTAATATGGAGGTACTGTAATCCTATCTTTCCACAGGTGCGTGACCGTAGAGGGTCGTGGCTAGACGTACCGTACGTCCCTGGTACCATCATCATCCTGGCTGGAGACTTCATCAAGTTCTACTCAAACAACAAGTTCAACTCCGTGGTCAGTGGTTCACTCTGGACGTTCACACTGGTCACTGTAGCTTGTGGAGTGACTCGTCTATTTTATTTAGTTGATTCATAAGGTTCTTATATTTGTCTGGTGTGTGCGTTTACTGGGCTGTTTATTTATGATGCTTATTGGGTAGTCTCCTCCTTATTTAACTGTTTATTATTTATTTATGAAAGCGTATCCTAGTCATTATGCTAAGATTCGATGAAATGTTTCACATTTGGTTCTAGTGCACTGGGATTGTAAATATTTTCGAAATCAATTCTTGAAATTTTGTGGTCAGTGGCTCAAACTCACACACACACACACACACACACACACACACACACACACACACACACACACACACACACACACACGCACGCACAAATGTAGTCCCAATCTTTAAAAAAGGAGACACACATGAAGCATTAAACTACAGACCAGTGTCACTGACATGTATAGTATGAAAAATCATGGAGAAGATTATCAGGAGAAGAGTGGTGGAACACCTAGAAAGGAACGATCTCATCAACAGCAGCCAACATGGTTTCAGGGACAGGAAATCCTGTGTCACAAACCTACTGGAGTTCTATGACATGGTGACAGCAGTAAGACAAGAGAGAGAGGGGTGGGTGGATTGCATATTCTTGGACTGCAAGAAGGTGTTTGACACAGTTCCACACAAGAGATTGGTGCAAAAACTGGAGGACCAAGCAGGGATAACAGGGAAGGCACTACAATGGATCAGGGAATACTTGTCAGGAAGATAGCAGCGACTTTTACATTTGCTGCAGCAGTGTTATTAACATCTTCTGGTAAGATGAATAATCAGGGGCCACGGATGTTGATATAGTGTTCCTTATTGTGTCCACCGAAACCATGCTTTTCAGTCTGTTTATGTTACACTTCTATATCTCTCAGTCCAGTATGTTGTTATGGCAGTGTACAGGTTTGAGACCAGACCCCTCAAGTACCTTCCAGGTGTATATTTTCATGCATTTCTCTGTCTCTGTCTGTCTGTCTGTCTGTCTGTCTCTCTCTCTCTCTCTCTCTCTCTCTCTGCTGTTCCAGTGAAGACATATTTAGGTCTCTGAGACGTTCCTAATACTTTAAAAGATTTATTGACTATGCGATCCGTAAATGATCTCTGTATCTATTGTAGATCTGACATCTCTCCTGTTCTGAACCAGACTGTGATGAATATGTTGGCCAGTGGGCCGCCAGCAGCAACAGCCAAGTTGACCAGGCAAGCATCAGACTAATCTGACGCAGGACCGGGCTCCGAGAATAAGCGATCAATTCCGAAAAACATTCTAAACGTGAGAGCAGAAGCGATTTGAAAAGTGTCACCAATGACACTATTTCCCTTATTTTGAGAGTAAGCTTCTCCAGTGGGTTCCATCTTGTATGTTAGACTTTGAAAGAAGTTTAATAATCTTGGTCTGCCTGTCTTGAGTATTAAAAATGTTAGAGGTTTATGTAATAAAACCAAAGAATGCACAAGAATGCAGTTAAAAGCCTGAGTAGATGTTTAACTCGCTGTGATGTCATGCCATAGCAATGTTAACAACCTGACTGATGTAGCAGCCAGACTTAGGTTTGGTTACAGTACTTCTGGCAGTTTGGCAGACACACACATGATGCTCAAACTAAAGGTAAAATATGAAGTTATCCTTATGGTCACTTTCTTGAAGGTAGCGCTTAACTACTTACTTTTTTTCCCGGGTTGTGGCATACAGGGATTGAAAATACATGAATCTTATAAATACCTAATATGAGATCCTTTACTGCGCGTATAAGTTCTGTCAAGCACCTTAACTACTGGAAACGCTTGGAAGCACTTGACTTGTACTCGTTGGAACGCAGGAGGGAGAGATATATCATATTCTACACTTGGAAAATCTTGGAAGGAATGGTCCCAAATCTGCACACAGAAATCACTCCCTACGAAAGTAAAAGACTGGGCAGGCTATGCAAAATGCCCCCAATAAAAAGTAGGGGCGCCATTGGTACACAACAAAGCACCATAAGTGTCCCCAGGGCCCCTAAAAATGTTAACAGCCCCCATCAAGCTTAGGGGTTGCCCAATAACCCCGGTCCTCTAAAGGGTTTGGAACTCTAAAGTCAGTGCCGGTCCCGGGGCTCTGGCCGTCGTTCGGGTTTTGGAAGCATAACAGAATAGTTAAAGGCCCTGTTTCCATCGGGAGGTGGTCCTGGACCAGGCCGAAAAGGGTTGACCCGAAAAACCCTCCAGTTAACCCCAGGTCCCAAGTCAGGGGATTGGGGAGGGCAAGGGGACCGCCAGCGGGGTCCCAAAGGGGTAAAACCTCCCAAAGGGTTTTGGTATTTTTAACGACATCAAAGGGAATAACCCTTGGGTGGCCCTGGCAACTGGGTTGGAAAACACGATGAAAAACAGAGAAACAAAGGTTGGGCACCAAGCCCCTATCCAGCAATTGGGTCCTGGGGGAAATAAAGGAAATCATAAAGGGGGGGGGGGGGGGGGGGGGGGGGGGGGGGGGGGGGGGGGGGGGGGGGGGGGGGAAAAAAAAAGGGGGGGGGGGGAAAAGGGAAAAAGGGGGGGGGGGGGGGGGGGGGGGGGGGAAAAAAGCGAACTGGAGGAAGGAAGATAGGGTGGAATGAAACGACTTACAAAATACTGAGGGGAATTTGAAGGGGGACAAAGACGGGATGTTCCAGTGATGCACAGCAAAAAGGGGGCAAGTTGGGGAAGCTGAGACACAGATAAATCACGGGGATGTTGGAAAGTTTTCTTCAGCCAAGAGTAGTCAAAAAGTAATATTTGGGATAGATGTATTGAGGCGATCCATACATGCTTTAAGCAAGGTACGAAAAAAGCTCATGGTTCAGGGAGGGGGACCTAGTGGGACCAGTGAAGAGGCGGGCCGGAGCTTGGACTCGACCCCTGCAAACCCAATAGGTGAAAAACCTTAAACCACAAGCACCCCCCCCAGAAACCCCCTGCAGAAGGACCCAGCCACGAAAACCCCCAAGGCAACTGAAAAATCCAAACCAACCATCACACACCGTCCCTCTTTTTCCACCCCCCGCACCACGTTAAGTATTAAAAACGAAGTTGAAGTTGGCACACAAATGCAGATGGATTAACGAATAAACTGGGGAATGGCAAAAAAGAATCAACGACTCAAGCAGTCACAAAAAAAAACTCACGGAGACAATAACAGATGCAATCTTCCCACCGGGATACCAGATCATGAAAAATTAAGAAGGGGGCAGGGGGGGGAGGTGGGGTGCTCCTCGTAAAAAAACAATGGAAATTCGAGAAAATGGAAGGCATGATGAGAGGGGAAAAAGAGACTACATAGCAGGTCACTCAGTCGGGGGGACCAAAGTGGTCTTTGCAGTGATGTATAATCCCCCCCAGAATGCGGGAGGCCAAGAGAGGAATATGAAGAGAGCAACAGAGCAATGGTGGAACATTTGCTGATTGGCAAAAAAGGAGCTCTTTCCCAGCAGAGCAAAGTTGCTGGTTATGGGGGATTTCAACCAAAGGGGATCGACTGGGAAAACCTGGTCCCACAGGGGGGTCCCGAAACAGGAAGCCAGGATGTTGGACGTGTGCTGGAAAAACCTCATCACCAACATTTTAAAGGCCCTACCAAGTGAGAGGGGGGATGAACCAGCAAGATTGGACCTTTGTTCACCCGGGGCAGCTCAGACATTGGGACATCAAGTATGAAGCCCCCCAGGAGCTCCGAAAACTGGTTCTGGCTTTGAAACATAGTAGGCTGCAAGTGGAGAAAAATAACAGGAGTTAATGGAAAACCCCCGACTATAAAAGGGGGGACTACATAGGGTTGAAGAACTTCCGCGGGAGCTCCGGGGGACAGAGAATGGCGGGGAAAGCCAGTAAATGAAATGATGGAATATGTAACAACAAAATGCAAGGGGGCGTGGAAAAGTTTTTTCCCAAAAGGGCAAAGTGACAACGGGAAGACCAGAACGAGACCCGGTTTTACCCCGGTGTAAAAAGGAAAAAAAACAAAGTGCAATAGAGAATGGAAAAAGTAAAAAGGCAGAGAAACACGAAAATAGGGAATCAGTCGAAAGACCGGGAATTTAGTATGCAAAGGTAAGGAGGGGGGCCTAGCGACAGTATGAAAAGACATGCAGGGAAATCAAGACTGACCCGAAATGTTGTATAGCCACATCAGGAGGAAACACAGTAAAAGACCAGGTGATCGATTAAGGACCAGAAGGGGGAGAACTCACAAGAGTGTCAGGGGTATGTGAGGAGCTGAACGGGAAATTTTTAAGGGAAGTTTTTACAGTAGAGACGGAAGGGCGGGAAAAGCCAAACAGAAGGGAACATCAAGGGGAATATCCCAAAACAATTTTGGGATGACATACAACAACTGAGGGGGAGTGAAGAAGCTCTTAAGTGACCTTGACACCTCAAAGGCATGGGACCGGACAACATCCCCCCATGGGCCCTTAGAGAAGGGAGCAGGATGCTGTCGTCCCTCTAACCACAATCTTCAAACATCCCTTGAAACTGGGCAATCCTGAGAAATGGAAACAGCTAATGTATCCCCCAAATTTAAGAAGGAAAAAAGAAACGAGGCACTAAATACAGACCCCGTGTCCTGACATTATTGTGTGCAAAATCATGGAGAAGATATCAGGAGGAGAGTGGTCGAACACCTGCAAAGGAACAAGTTTTTTAAATAAAACCAGCAGGGTTCATGGGAAGGGAAATCTTGTATCACAAACCTCCCGGTTTTTTTGACAAGGTAAAAAAAGTAAGACAGAAGAGGGGGTGGGCGATTGCGTTTTCCCAACTGCAGGGAAAGGCCCTTTTACACAGTTCCCCCCAAGAGATTTAAACAGAAGCTGAAGGATCAGGCGCAGTAAAAGGGGGGGGCATTTTCAATGGATAAGGGGAAAACCTGACAGGGAGGCAGCAAGAGTCATGGGGGGGGGGGGGGGGGGGGGGGGGGGGGGGGGGGTGGGGGGTTTTTTTAAAG